TGCCACTAGGCCTCCAATGAGAGAGAAAATAATAAATAATTCTATTTCATCTCTTGATAAGTGTTTAGATCGCCTCCTTTAACTTGTTGTCCCAAGAACATCCAGTCTGATATACCTTTTTTCTGTTTTGAGTTTCCAAATATTACTGGACTGGTTAGATAATAGATTAAAAAAATTAAAAGCCTAGTTGTACAAATTGTTAAGAAATACACCTCTAGCCAAAAAGTTGGCTGTTGGAACCCACCACTTATTAGTGCCTCAGAAGAAAGATCTGGCCACCTGCTTCCAAAAGGTCATGACCTTGAAAACCCTATAGAGCCATTCTATTCTGCACACCTGCACTGGTTCTGAGTTAGGATCGACTCATCAACTAACAACTGCAAAAGAAAACAGTTCTATGATCATAAAAATGTTTTCATGCTCATTAGTTCTAGATCAAAGGCTGGTATATTTTCAGTACTGAAACGAAAACTACTAATTCAAGTCACTGCCAACCAGTACCCAAAGTAATAGCTTTGTCTTCAAGTAAAAGTAAAAATGAAGACAGTAGACAGCCATCTAAAGTATAATAACTGATCTATTTTTGAGAACAGCTGGGCAGCCAAGGAAGAAGGCGCATTGGGGATAGGAGGAGGACAGGGAATTGGTGGCTATTCACCTACATAACCAAGTGGCCTTTTGCAGTGGGACCAGAACTGCAAAGGGTCTGAGCTACCATTACATAACATTTGGTCCAAAGAAGTCTGTTCAGCAATCAGAGCATGGAGTTTCAAATTCTCATGAACTCCATCTACTTTCTGGAACAATGGAGTATGGATGAACTCTTGAAACTATCACCCCGAGATAATCTTTAAACCTTAAACCAAAAATATCCTCTGAAGTCTTCCTGAAGGCAATTTTTAAAAACGTTTCTCTGAACTAGTGGAGAAGATCTGCCGTGGTAACAGGATTAGATAGGAACCAGCTTCATGTTAGTGGGGAGAAACAATTCAGAAAAAGGTATGACTTTTAGTGAATTTTTCACCATCTTATGGTCCTTCACAGGAGGGAAGGACCCTCATCCAGGTAGATTGGCAGTGACTGTAGCAGTGGGCTCTACTGTGCCAGAGGTTGTGGGGATGGCACAGGATGGGCCAGGGTTCAGGGCTGTTATCCATAGGGTCACTGTGAATCATACTCAATGGCTCCTGACAACAACAACAACAGCAACAACTCTGTATTTTACTAAAATATATTTTATAATAAGTATTTATTATCCTTTCGAGATGTCTTCTTTCAAAGATGTGTATTTATATTTTATGCCTTTTTAACTGATATAAATAATGAACTTTATTACAAAATCTAATGTTCTGAATATTTCTGGTATAGTTCTTAATATTTTGGAAATGTAACACTATCCCACTTTGGAGAACAATATGAATTTCTGAGAGTCTAAACCAGCTGTTGGGAATATATAAATCTCTCCAAAGCAGTAGATATGAAATGAAAGATTTTCATCAAGTTACACATCTGCTGGTTCCCAGATGTCTTGGGGTTTCTTCTGAGCACTGATGCTGGGGAGGAGAGAGAGTGAAGTGTAAAGAGCAGAGACAATTTCATTTCTCTTAAAAACACCCACCCATGTCTCTTAATTTGTTTAATATGAAGAACAAACTATCTTCAACTAAACTGGATTAAGACTAATCATAAAAATAGGCATGGAATAAACTGTTTTCCTAAGAAATTGTTTTCCCTATAGTTTGTCACATTTTATAGTTCTTTGCCTGCTGTACATCAGGTAAAAAGATATGCTGGAGAAAAGCACATTCATCAAAGTCACTATTTAATATCTGTAGTAGTTTTAATCTTGGAAGTTGAAGTGATTATTTGATTAAATATTACTGTCCTTACGATATATTTTATGATATAATTAGGAACAAGCAAAGAGTAAGAATTAATTGGAGATGATTCTGCAAATATTGATGATTTTCTTCATAAAACTTTAAACTATTACACTTCAAACATTCCCATAATGGTACTGTCTTATTTTCATGGTGGGTCTCCAGAGGCCTAGAGGATCCTATAACTTGTCCAAAATGAGACTAGATTGTTACTTTTTGTTAGCTGTCATTTCATCTCCCTCAGCTCATGCAAATAGAACTATTAGACATTGCCTGATCCTGTACCACTCCCATGACTGGTTGCAGATCAAGGAGTTGTGCTCCATAACATCTTCATTGACTGATTTTTCAAAGTAGATCACCAGGCCTTTCTGCTTAGTTCTTCTGGGCTCTCCATTGAAATCTGTTCAGCATCACAGCAACACGCAAATCTCCATTGATTCCATTCCATTCCAAGCAAGACCTGGAGGCCTGGAAGCACGTTGGTTGGAATTAAATTCTGGTCTACTAAATCAAAGATGAGAATTCTACCATCGAACCACCTTATGCGAAATCTTGATTTGATGCTATCTTTTTAAAGCCATACATAATACATTCTTTGTTTTGATTATTACATTCCTAAAATTAATTTGAATTCTTCATAGCAATTAGTTATTATTATACACCCACTCCTCATTTATTAACCTGGTTAGGTTCCAAAGAAAATTATGCCAAAATTGATGTTACGTAAGATGAAGGATAACTATGTAAGATCACAAAATAGTCATTAAATATCTGAGAATCATATAATTTCTAGATTTGTCAAAAACTGATATTATCTACATTTCCTATTTGACTGAGTATTACATATCATTTTACATTCAAGGCTGTAAATTTACAGTCCCCCTTGGTTTTCTTGGAGAAGGGCTGAATTTTTTGACAGATATACAGTCCCTGAAAAAAAGGCATCATGCTTGGGAAAGTAGAAGGTGAGAGAAAGAGGACAACCAATCCTAAGGTGGATTGGCACAGTAATGATAGCAAAGGGCTTGAGGCTGGCTGAGGTTGTAAGGACAACATTAAGAATGTTGTTGTTTTTGTTGTTGTGTACCATTAAGTTGAAACCAACCCATAACTGACCCTCTGGTGGGTTTTCAGAGGCAATTAATCATTCGGCAAGAGACTGTCCATCCTTGTACAGCATCTGTTGGCCTTGAACCATGTGCCTTTGGGATTGCAATGCAGCTTCTTGCCACTAGGCCACTGGAGCCCCCTTGTAAAGTATAAGGATAAGGTGTTCCATTTCTTTGCTCATTACCCCAGTGTTCCATTGGAATATAATAGTTTTAAGTAATTTAAAATACTATTCAAGCATCAGAACATAGGTTAGGGCAAAGTTCAAATCTCTTGTTCGTAGGGTCACCATGAGTCAGAGTGCACTCAGTAACACCTACCAAAAACAGCACGAAGGACGTCAGAAGACAGTCCTGGCAATCGGCTGCTGAAAAGTCACTGTCTTGGAAACTCTGTGGAGCTGTTTTACTCTGCATACATACATAAGGTCACCTTGAGTCAAAACCGATGCAGCAGCCACTAAAAACAGTTTGCTCAGCAAAGGTCATGTCTGTGTATCCTCTGGCTTTGACAGACCAGATCACAGTGAACACTCTTCCCATACTCTTGACAAGTTCCTTTTGTCATCAACTGTAAGTGACTTTTTAGCAATACTACAGTATGAGGAGGAGGTGGAATTAGAATTCTAGCATTTTTATTTCCTGTGGGATGATATGATGGAGCAGAGTTAAATTTGGTTTTCCCCTAGTTTTAATCTGCATGAAAAAATAATAATCGGTCGTCACTGCAGCAGTTCCCTGTATGGTGAGAGCATCATGGAGCAGCTTAGTAGGATTGAATAGGGCGTCATCAGGGTTATGGCCTTGTCAGTGTAGTTACAGAACTTTGAAAATAGAGTCCAGTGTTTCTCTCACGTGAGAGAGGAGGTGGCTGAGATGCAGATAGGTTTAGGAACACGCCTGAGGTCACACAGCCGATCCGTAGCAAAGGGAGAATTGGAGCCAGACTGTCTGATGCCAGAGTACACAATCTTACCTACTATTCTTTTTTTTAATGCATAAAAAAATCTTAGCTATTCTGCTGCCTCTTATTTTAAATACATTCCTCTGATAGTAGTAAACAGGAGACTGGATTGACCTTAGAGTTCTCTACTGTTTTAGATTACCTGGAATATTTTTAAGTTATTGTGAAGAAGTATCATGGAAATATCTTTAAGAAAGTAATTCTGAAAAAAAGATTTCTGCAAAAAGAGACACAAAGAGACATGTAGGATCCATTAGCCATTTCCATTCACACAGTAAGCCATAGAGAATGTGAGTAACACATTGTTTTCCAAAGGGAGAAGATTTGAAGAGAAACCAGAGCTTCTAAAGGGAAGAGTTCTGAAAATCACATTTTCTCTATGCTTGCAGATAGTGTTAACAAGTTCAAGCTGATTATTATGTTACCTAATAAATTTCCTCAGAGGACTGAGAAACAAAACCCATCAGAAATACATCCTGACTGCATTTCCATAGATGAGGCAAGTCCCCAGGGTTCCATTTGCATACTGTTTCCCATTGGTCTGCATTCTAAATGAGTTCTCATTATTGTTCCAGATGTGAAAACCATTAAAATGGGCAAAATGCACTCTAAGGGCATTTCTTTGTCAAGAGAGCAGAAACCATTTTTGAAACATGTGTTCATGCAGAACCATAATTATTGAAGAGCTATGAAGTATGTTCCTATAGGGAGTCCTGGTGGTGCAGCAGTTCAGCACTCATCTGCAAGCCAAAAGGTTGGCAATTTGAACCCATCATCTGCTTCAGTGGGAGGAAGATGAGGCAATCTGCTTCCCAAGAGATTGTAGGTCTGGAAATCCCATGGGACAGTTCTGCTGTGTGCTATAGAGTTGTTAGGAGTTACAGTGAGTTCTATAGCAGTGCTTTTAGTTTGAGTTTTTGTGTGATTTTTTGGAGAGTTTTTCTGTTTTGTTTTCATTTGATGTTGCCTATTGTTTGTGCTTAAAGTGTGTCATAAACCCTATAGATCTGATTAAAGCAAAGCTCTGTATGTGTGTCTTTGTAGGCTAAAGGTAAAGAAAGACAGTGGCTGCGACACCAGGCTACCGGGGAACTTGATGATGCCAAAATCATTGATGGACTGACGGGAGAGAAAGCCATCTACAAACGCCGGGGTGAGCTGGAGCCGCAGGTGAGTCTCAGTGGCTCGTGGCCTGCAGCCTTCCTTACAGAAACCTCTCTGTAAACATGACGATGGCAACCAAGGAAAGTGTGATAGGAAAAATGTAAAATGCAAGTCAAGAAAATCATGGCATGCTCAAATTGGGCAATTTGAGATACAGTTAGTTTTTTAACAAAACAATATACGACGTTCAGTGTGAGTTAGGAAAACAGAGTGCAGCCTCCCTGGGCTGAGAACATAGGATCTAGCCCTGCACCTCAGGCAGAAGGACAGTGGGAGGAGCCATGGTGGATCCTAGAGAAGGAAGTTTGAGGTGAGGGCCCCTGGCTGGAGCTCTCGCCTTCTGGCGACAGAGAGCCAACCCATGGACAGGAAATGAGAGAGAGCAAGTATCCCAACCTCCCTCTCTGATCTCCACCCATCTCCAGAACCCACTGGAAGACTGCAGCCAAGAGAGTGGTTGGCACTGTGGGTACAGAGCGGAGAACCCCTGAGGGGCAGCTGATGACAACCAGCCTGTCTGTGTTTATTAATCGTGGAGGACTGTTCAAGGGAAACATTTGCGCAATGTTAGAGCATTTCCGTAGTTCTGGTACTCTGAAGATCTTTGTCAATCCTACAACTGAAGGGGGCGGAGGAATGGGGGGGAAAATTTCCCTGAAATCACTCTAATTATGGTATGTAAAAATTTAATAGTGTTCAAATAAACCCTTGAGAACTTAAAAAAATTTTATGTTCATTAAAATTTTATATACTATAATTAGAGTAATTTAGGGAGAATTCTTTTTTTTTCTATTTTCCCCCCTTTAGTTGTACGATTGACAAATGTCTTCAGAGTACTAGAACCATAAAAAACCACTAAGTTAATTTTTACATATTTGCAACACAATGCCCTCCCCTCCAAAATGAAAATAAGGTAAAATATTTCATCTCCTAAAGACATGAGTGATTTCATATGTCCCTGAATGGCCAGAATTGCTGAGTAGCCACAGAGAGTTGGGGGTGCAGTGGTGAGTTCAGGGGTGTCACTTACCTCACTTAAATATTTATTCAGAGATGGTCTGTTGTGATTTGGGAGTTCTCATTTCTGTGTCGTTGCTATGAGTCAGTGACCACTTTCTTCACTGACTCATTGTGGTCAACAATTGTATTTAGACACATCTGAAATTGTGAGGCATCATGACAGCATATGTAGCACTGTTCTTAATTTAGGCCAACTCAAGCTTGTAAAAAATACACTGAACTTGTCTGAAACTATCTGTAAACATGCTATGCTGTACTATAGGTTACTATGCTGTAACCCTCACAGTGTTTGTTCAACTCACTCAGCTCATTAGTTTTCTAGTTTATATTTAAAGAAAAATACAGTTTTCTTTAAATTCTCTAAATTTGCATGTCTGCAGATTGGCAGTCATGGGTCCAAAGTCAACTAAATCTCATGAAAGTTTCACATTTTAATTGGCCGTTGTTGCTAGACAGACACCACTTTAACTGCCAAGAGAGGAAAAGAGAAATAATAGTTCAGTAACTGGAAAGAAGAGAACTTCGAAAGCTCCTAAAGGCAATAGACATTTTAATGGACATGTTTTCCTTCAGTTCTTTGCCAAACCCTTCTCTCATGACCTTGTTTAAGGGATCATTTCTGTGGCCAATGTACAAAATCCTCTTCAGATCACCATACAGCATGTCCTGGGGTCACCATGACACTCAGCTGGTCACTGAAAAGTCAGCCGTGTGAACCCAACCCACCCAGTGGCTCTGAAGGGAAGAGACCTGGGACCTGTCCCCATGGTGCTCGGGGCCAAGGACACACTAGGAAAAGTTCTGCTCTGTCATGAAGGGTCTATAGGAGTCTGAGCTGACTCAAAGACTGCTGATCACAGCACATAATATGTACAAGTGAGGAATTTTCCCCTTCAAAACTCTTTCTGAAGACAATGGGTCTAAACAGCAAGTTAAAGTTAATATCTTTTCAGATTAATTCATTTTATAAAGGCATCAGTCTTCAATTTGATGGGGGGGGGGTAAAGGAAATGGGAAAGATCTGATGTGAACAACAATGTATATGAACTTTGTAAGTAAACCAGTATAAAATAAAAAATTTATTAAAAAAAACCAAACCACAAAGTACATACATGAACCACAAAAATATATGAATGATTGTTTGCAAACCAATTAAAATTTTAAAAAAATTAAAGCCTTCTGTTGCTTTAAAAAAAAAAAGGCCTTAGTCTTTTAAGGCAACATTACTAGGTTATATTGGATGTGGTTGACAGGGACACGGTCCAAGGGCAAATCTCCCGCTTGGAGCTCTGACTTCCAGCAGAAATCTGAAGTTCCATTGACTAAAGTAAAATCTATACATACTTTTCACCAGCCGGAGTCGTTGTATACTGTGGAGTCAGAACTGACCCATCACTGACCCTCCAGCTTTTGGAGTCAGTATATCGCCCAGGAGGAGATTGCCCATCTTTCTCCCAAAGAACAGCTGGTAGCTTGAACTCGAGTGCCTTTGCATTAGCACTGCGACTCTGTACCACTAGGCAGGGCTTGTCTTGTGCAGAGCTGAGCCTCTAGCTGATCAGTCACCTGGTGGTTACACTCAGGCTCAGGTGGGTCCCCAGGACAGCAGCCAGGAATGCTTTTCTGGTTCACAGCCTTTCTGTCTTCCCTCCTGCAGCTGGGCAGCCCGCAACAGAAGCCCAAGCGACTGAGCCTGGTGGTGGACGTGTCTGGCAGCATGTACCGCTTCAACGGGGTGGACGGCCGGCTGGAGCGCTCGATGGAGGCTGTGTGTATGGTCATGGAAGCCTTTGAGAACTATGAGGAGAAGTTCAAGGTAATGGCGGAGTTAAAAGTGGTGGTGATGATGATGGAGTCACTGTTCACAGCTGCTTCAGAGTCAGCCTGAGAGAAGGGAAGATGGATGGGGGTGGATGTGGGCTCCCCACAGAATGGACAAGGATCCCTGTGCTCTCATCAGTGTGAACATATTGCTTTATCTGCTTTTAGAATCAAAAAGTGGTAGTACCATAATCTAAAGCAGTAATTATTACAGAAGGAAGTACTTTGCTCCACTGATTTTGCAAGCATTCTGCATTCCAGCCACACTTGACTGCGGGGTTGGAGGGGGCAATGGACAGTAGCCACTTAGATTAGCAGGACCAGAAGTCTGTGCCCAAGTTGCTGAGTGCCTCTCATCCTCACACGCGTTCCCTCATGAGCACCTCTCAGCCATCACCAGCAGGGCAGCCCCACCCCTCACTAGGTTTGAGTGCACCCCAGTCCCTTATCATTCTCTGCACAGTGTCATGGGGAAAATTTCTGCCAGCTGACAGTGATGATGATTATCCTGGGAGAAAGACAGCCTGTCAGTTAAATGGTTTCTGCTCTAATTTTTGCTACATTTGCTGTAGACCCTCCATTTCAGAGATCTGATCATGGAGAAGGGCCCCCTTGTATAGTTAAGTCACTGCCAGATAAAAAAAATCAAACTCATTGTTGAGCTGATCTCAATTCCTGGCCATCCCTCATGTTACAGAAAACCCTCCATGGAGTCATCATCTTTACAGAAGCGATTGCCAGGCCTTTCATCTGTGGCTTCCCTGGGTGGGTTTGAACTGCCAATCTCTGAGTTAATAGTCAAGGATTAATTGGTTTTGCAGCCTTTAAAGACTTTTTGTCCAATATGGGCCCATAAAGCCATACTTTTCTAGTTGTACAGAGCACCTACACTCTTGATCCTAAGCAAATGAACACTATCACAAGCTGTATAACATATTAGCAGCTTCAGTTGAGAGAAATATTTGTAGACCTATTTAAAGGACAAATGGTACATCCAGATATATTAGAGACCTGATTCTGGATCAAATATGTTCAACAGAGATAGATGATCTTAGATCATTCTAGCTTGACATCCCACCTGCACTCCAGAGATGCTTTCCTGAGGACAGACATGGCAAGAAACAGACTGATGAAGCCCAGAACTTCCTTTATTTTCAGCCCTTAGGGAGCTCTAGGGGCCTGGTGGTAAGAAGTTGCACTGCCAACCCAAAGGCATGTACGTTTAATCCACCAGCCGCTTCCTGGAAGAAAGATAGGCAGCCTCTTCCCATGCACTTTACAAGCCTCTGAAAACCTGCCAGACGGTCAGCTATGAGTTTATTCTGACAGTAGCACAGAACCACAACTCCCCAAAGGTATTAAGGTCTATAA